ATATACATATTACCCTGAATAGAGGTATTAATATTTTCATAGTTATTCTATCCTCAGATATTTTTATTTTTTCACTACCACAGATGAAGAGATAACAACCAAATCTGTGATACTCTACTGTAATCAATTTTTTTTTTGTTAGAAGAGAGTCCTGGAACTGGGCTTACTGGTCAGTGGCCATTAATTTTTAAATTATCTTACTACATACTATCTAGTTACTTTCTATTGTGTTGGCCAAAAAGTTCATTCAGGTATGGAAAACTGAACAAAATTTTGGGCCAACACTATAAAATACTGTAGCACTTTCTACCCCTACCACCAGTGTAAGGAACATGATGGAGAGCTGCTAGCAATGCACCCTTGTGTTTTTTGATGAAAATTTATATATTATTTTTATAACCATTTCCTTAATTAATAAGGAGACAATTATTAGAAGCAGTGATTACCATACTTTCTCTTTTTGTGAAGTCTGTGATCACTTATTTTCATTGATTCTGCTATTAACCTGATATTGGGAAAGATTTTAATGGTCTAAATTTCTATGCAGGTAAAGGGAAAAGACAGGTTTCTGACAGTTGAATGAAAGGTCATATCCCTAAATTAAATCATGAAAGCCATAACAGCTTCAGTATTTTTGAGGGCCTGTTTTTATAACTTTAGTATCTTATTGAATATTAATAATTATAGTAATATTATTAGTGATATGTACTATTTATTATTTTCTCTAAGTGTTTTAAGTATTAGATTTTAAAAATTGTTTTAAGGAAGGAACTATATTATATTTTGTTAATGGATAGGAAAAACAATACTTAAAGGGCCAGGGCTAGAATTCAAATCCAGATACTATATATGACTCCAAAACCGAGGTGTCCGTTCTTCCAGTGCAATACTTTCCCATGTACACATCTGCAAGTCCTTTTCAGTGATGTTACTCTCTTTGTTTAACTCAGTTTTCTTTTAAAAACAATACTTTTTAAGAGTGGGTATGTAATCTTAAAAGTAGTCTTTTCATAATCATAGTATTTGGTCTTTTTTATAATTTTAAAGGCACTTAAAGAATTAAAGTCAAACACCAGACTTGTAAAATGATAATATATTTAATATATAAAGAACTTATGTAATTTTATCATAAAAACATTAGAAACCTGTAGTAGGATGGCTAAATATTATGATTTTGATTCTCATAGTAGTCTAAAGTAGACAGGAGAGGTTTTTTTTTTAAACAGAGGAAGAAGCTACAAGTTAGAGAAACTAACTCAGCTCAAAACAATTAATGATTTATGAAGCCAGCACTAAAATTAAAATTTTCTGACTGTGAATAGGCAGCTGTGGACTCTTAAACCAATTAACATTTCATTTTTAAGGACAAACATAGCCAAATAAAGCAGCTGCAGTCCCTCATAACCAGAAAAATGAGGAGAAATATGCCTTGGAGAAAATGAAGTCAGAACTTGTATGATAAAGTGGTGATAGGCACCCCTCAGGTTGTTATCTGCCCATGGGCGTGCACTCTCACAGTGGAGCCTGTGGTGTAGGGACACCCTGAAAATCCAGGGGTGTGGTGCCCATGGAGAGAACAATTCCAGCTGGCCTCCAGCCTCCCACACTGGAGGGCCAGTCCTTGCTGGATGGGCTCCAGATTACCCTGGAGGCACCAGCCACAATCATGCTAGTCTGTCAGCCTCTGAGCCAGACTTTCTCCTGACTCATATACACATGGTCCAGTGCAGCTTCACAGCCAAGTCTCCACTCCCCATTCAGAACCTTTCTGTTGAAATTGTTAGTTATTTCACATCCGGCCACTTAAAATGGCTTCCTCTGGTTTATAGACGTTGATTACTCTCCTGTGTTTAGGTAGCGGCTCTCCTCAGAAACAGTCACCCCAGGGCGCTCCATTCTAGAGAGAGGGGCACTCGAGTGCATCAGGTTAGCTCCTGGGACTCATTTTCTGCTCTGTTGTGTTAGACAAGCAGTTCCATCTAGGTCCCATCTTCACAACATGCAGAGAGGAACTTTCCAATCACAAAATAGATCCAAATATACATGGTGATCAGGGCTTCCCTGGTAGTTCAGCTGGTAAAGAATCCACTTGCAATGTGGGAGACCTGGGTTCAATCCCTGGGTTGGGAAGATCCCCTGGAGGAGGGCATGGCAACCCACTCCAGTATTCTTGCCTGGAGAATCCCCAAGGAGAGAGGAGTCTGGTGGGTTGCAGTCCATGGGGTCACGAAGAGTTGAACACGACTGAGTGACTTACACACATAAACACACAGAGTGATCTAGGTTTAAGCATACCAATGCATGCGTGCACACACACACTCAGTGATCTAGGTTTAAGCATACCAATGCGGGATTCAGGAGGTAAACCAGGGGAGTCTTAAGTCTTCAGCCAGCATTAGTTGTGGGTATAGGGAGATAATGTCTGCTGCTGCTGCTAAGTCACTTCAGTAGTGTCTGACTCTGTGCGACCCCATAGACGGCAGCCCACCAGGCTCTGCCATCCCTGGGATTCTCCAGGCAAGAACACTGGAGTGGGTTGCCATTTCCTTCTCCAATGCATGAAGGTGAAAAGTGAAAGTGAAGTGGCTCAGTTGTGTCCGACTCATAGCGACCCCATGGACTGCAGCCCACCAGGCTCCTCCGCTTATGGGATCTTCCAGGTAGGAGTACTGGAGTGGGGTGCCATTGCCTTCTCTGTAATGTCTGCTAAGGTGACAGAAAAATGTAAGTATACTGTAGAGCTTGTTTTGTTTTGCTGGTTTGTATTCTGGCTGTTCAACCTTTCCATTTGCTTTTGGTAATAGCACTTGAATTTCCATTTTGAAATGATCTTTTTTCCCATTAAATACAGTCTAACATTCAAGGAAGGCCTGTTGGAAATCCTCTACCTGACATTTTAATTATGAGAAGAATGATGAAAGGCTGTTAATTATTGGAATTAATTCATTCTGGTGTCAGTTCCTGGGGAAACACTATAGATCCTGCTACCTAAACTTTCTGGGGGCAGTCTATTTTCTGTATGTTGCATGCTTTGTTTTCAAGGTTTCCTTCAATTCTGTGGCTTCCCAATAGCCTTTCAATAAATTACCCATTTGTTTAAGTTCATATATGGTGGTCACAAACAAAGAACTAATGCTCAGATAGTCCAGATTAGGTGAAGTAATTAAAGTTGAGCCTTGTGATGTTCACGGTATGAGCAGTATACTGAAGCAATGCAGGCAGTTCTGTTTTAGAGAGGAGGATGGAGCTATAATTCCCCCAAGTTAAAGTGATAAGGAGTGGAGGAGGTCATTGGAGGCTGACAGAGCAAAGTGATATATTTATTTCATAATTTATTTAGAGTTGGGCTGGAGAATGTGAGTTGAATTTTTCCCCTCCAGCCTTTTATTGTGAAAAATTTCAACGTACAACAGAGTTGAGCATTTTTACAGTGAACATTCCCATGCCCACCATCTACATTCTGTTATAAACATTTTGCAGTGCTTGCTTTGTCATGGATCTGCCCATGCCTCTATTGTTGTTTAGTCACTCAGTCACGTCCGACTCTCTGTGACCCTGTGGATGGTCACACACCAGGCTTCTCTGTCCATCACCATCTCCTGGAATTTGCTCTAACTCGTGTCTACTGAGTCAGTGATGCCACCCAACTATCTCATTCTCTGTGTCACCCCCTTCTCCTCCTGTCCTCAGTCTTTCCCAGCCAGCATCAGGGTCTTTTCCAGTGAGTTGGCTCTTTGCCCTAGGTGGCCAAAGTATTGGAGCTTCAGCTTCAGCATCAGTCCTTCTGATGAATATTCAAGGTTGATTTCCTGTAGGATTGACTGACTGGACCTCCTTGCTGCTGTCCAAGGGACTCTCAAGAGACTTCTCCAACACCACAGTTCAAAAGCATATTTCTTTGGTGCTCAGCCTTCTTTATGGTCCAACACTCACATCTGTACATGACAACTGGAAAAACCATAGCTTTGTCTATATGCATCTTTGTTGGCAAAGTGATGTTTCTGCTTTTAAAATATATATAGGTTTGTTATAGCTTTTCTTCCAAGGAGCAAGCGCCTTTTAATTTCAAGGCTGCAGTCACCATCCACAGTGATTTTGGAACCCAAGAAGATAAAATCTGCCACTGGTTCCATTTTCTCCCCATCTATTTGTCGTGATCATCTGTTAATCCATCTGAATTTTGATGATGCAATTCAAAATAAATTGCTGTAATATATCTGTGGGTCTGTTTTTGTTTCGTAGATATGTTCACTTGTGTTGTATTTTAGTTCATTTAATTTTTAAATATATTTTTTATTACATGGTAGCATTTATATGAGAAATCTAAAATAGTCAAACTTACAGAAACAGAGCGTGGCGGGGGTACTTGGTCAAAGGGTTGTGTCGTATTTTAGATTCCACATATAAGTGGTATCATATGGTATTTGTTTTTCTCTTTCTGACTTACTTTGCTTAGTATGATAATCTCTAGGTCCATCCATGTTGTTCTCACACCATAGAGGATAGACTTGTGGTTGCAAAGGGGGATGGGTGATGAGGGAGGGAAGGATTCAGAGTGTAGGATTAGCAGAGGCAAACTAGTATATATATATAGGATGGATAAACAACAAGATCCTATTGTATAGCACAGGAACTGTATTAGTGTCCTATGATAAATGATAATGAAAAGAATATGAAAAAGAGTATGTATATGTATGGCTGAGTCACTTTGCTACATAGCAGAAATTAAGCACATTATTTGTAAATCAACTATACTTTAATAAAATTTAAAAAAAGAAAAAACTAAATTGCTGACCTCAATATACTGACATCAATAGATCATATCATTTGTATATCATCAAGAGTTTAATATTAATTTACAGTTTTTCTTTGGATATAAAATTTAATATTAATGTAATATTATTCACAAGTCTTAGATATTAATTTCCTGAGTTTTAACAAATATATACACTTGTTACAAGTATATGTTAACAAACTCCTATTAAGATATGGAACATTACCTTTATTCCAGAGAGTACCCTTTTGCTTTGTCCTAGACAGTCCTTGTCCCTTTCCTTCCAAAGTCAGCCACTCATTTTTTTTTTTTTATCATGGAGCTGATTTCCTATAAATTGGGAAACAGATTCGAGTAAAGAAGACAGCTGCCTGCTTCTTTGGTCATAGGGGTACTAAAACATTACTGGAAATGTAACTATGTGGAGGACATTATGTTTCACACAGCTATTCTTAGGGAGAGTTCTGTAGGAGATTGAAGAGTGTTTTGCTTAGACAAGCACTTGGGGTGTGAAGAATTAGCTTCTAGGAAGCAAGCTCTAGTCAGTCTCTGGGTCTCTAGTTCCAGGACAGTACAGGAGAGGCTGAGGTCCTCCTCAGCCATTCAGTTGGTTTCTCCTGCCCAGGTCTCCTGCCTTGAAGGCAGATTCTTTATCATCTGAACTATGATAATGAGAGAAGCCCAAGAGATAGCACGTATACCTAAATAACATCCTTTGAAGGCACACAAATGGCTAGCTACCTGTAGTGTCAATTATCTGTATGAGTCCTCAGATGTCTCTGGACCTGAAGGGGAAGGAAAGAGTGTTAAATAATGTAGGGCAGTTCTGTTTATGCTCCTTTCTAAACACATGGTTAAGTTTAGCTCTTGTCCATTTGTTATGAAACACTTGACTGAAAAGACTGGAAGGAAGAAGGTAGAAAGAGTGGAGTTTTAAATTCACAGATGTTAGGCTCTGGACAGTGAAAGGGATGGACGAAAGACTAGTAAAGACAGAATATCTTCCTTTTTCTCTACTCTGTTTTTCCAGAGAAGACTTCGTGACATTCTACGGTTGTCATGACTACTTCTCTACTACTATTTCTTGACACGGATAGAGGGGTGATCTGACCTCTCTATCATCTGACCTCTCTATCACTTGAATTCAGCATAATTCAATTTTAAGTTGGTGCCCACAGGTTTCTTAGTTCTTACAAAGGGTTGTCTTTCCCTTGAAATTAAAATGTATCAATGAGATATCACCTCTCATGTCAGAATGATTATTATATAAAAAAAAGCAAGAGATGAGAAATGCTGGCAAGGGTGTGGAGAAAATGGACCCCTTATACACAGTTGGTGGAATGTAGATTGGTACAGCCATTATGGAAAACAGTATGAAGGTGCCTCAAAAAATTAAAAATAGAACTACCCTTCCACCATTTCATCTACCTTATGAGCTGGGCATTCATCTCCTAGGCACATTTTCTGAAGGAGGTGAAATCATCTTAGAGAGATGTTTGCACTCTCATATTAATTATAGCATTATTTGCAACAGCTGAAATATGGGAACAAGTAAAATGTCCTTTGGCAGATGAATGGATAAAGAAAATGTTGTATATACACATGATGGAATAATATTCAACCTTAAAACTGAAAGAAAATTCTGCCATTTGTGACAGCATTGGTGAACCTGGAGGGCATTATGCTAAGTGAAATTAATAAGAGAGAAAGACAAATACTGTATGATTTCATTTATATGTGGAATCTTAAAAAAAAAGCCTAATTCATAGAAACAGAGAATAGAATGGTGGTTGCCAGGAGGTGAGGTTAGGGGGAACTATGTAGATATAGGTCAAAGGCTATGAACTTTCAGCTATAAATTGAATACATTCTGAGGATCCAATGTACACTATGGGGATTGTATTTAATAATATGATATATTGCACAATTATGGCAGAAAGTGAAGAAGAACTAAAGCGCCTCTTGATGAAAGTGAAAAAAGAGAGTGAAAAAGTTGGCTTAAAACTCAACATTCAGAAAACTAAGATCATGGCATCCGGTCCCATCACTTTATGACAAATAGATGGGGAAACAGTGGAAACAGTGACAGATTTTATGTCTTTGGGCTACAAAATCACTGCAGATGGTGACTGCAGCCATGAAATTAAAAGACGCTTGCTCCTTGGAAGAAAAGCTGTGACCAGCCTAGACAGCATATTAAAAAGCAGAGACATGACTTTGCCAACAAAGGTCTGTCTAGTCAAAGCTATGGTTTTTCCAGTAGTCTTGTGTGGATGTGAGAGTTGGTCTATAAAGAAAGATGAGCACCGAAGAATTGGTGCTTTTGAACTGTGGTGTTGGAGAAGACTCTTGAGAGTCCCTTGGACGGCAAGAAGATCCAACCAGTCCATCCTAAAGGAAATCAGTCCTGAATGTTCATTGGAAGGACTGATGCTGTAGCTGAAACTCCAATACTTCAGCCACCTGATGCAAAGAACTGACTCATTGGAAAAGACCCTGATGCTGGGAAAGATTGAAGGCGGGAGAAGGTGACGACAGAGGATGAGATGGTTGGATGGCATCATCGACTCAATGGACATGAGTTTGAGTAAACTCTGGGAGTTGGTGATGGACAGGGAAGCCTGGTGTGCTGCAGTCCATGGGGTCACAAAGAGTCGGACAGGACTGAACTGATTGACTGACCTACTCCTGTATTCTGGCCTGGAAAATTCCATGGACTGTATAGTCCATGGGGTTGCAAAGAGTCGGACGCGACTGAGTGACTGAACCGAACTGAACTGATTGTATACTTGAAATTTTCTGAGAGTAGGTCTTAAGCATTCTCACCACATACACACACACATTAACTACAAGGTAAAATATATATTCATTATCTTTATCTTGGTGATCATTTCACAGTGTCAAATCACAATATCAAATCATTGTGTTGTACACTTTAAATATATACAATTATATTTGTCAATTATTCCTTCAATAAGGTTGGAAGAAAAAAGAAAGAAAATGGAGATAATAGGCTTAAAAATATGTGGCTGCTCAATATTAGAGTGTCATTCTTTTCCATTTTGAGCTTTATCATTTACCTGTTCTACAAGACATCTTCTTTTTGGTGATGCACGCTAAAAACTTTCAGTAAGGCTGAATCAAGATGACAGTGGGAATCTGTGGGTCACTGGCCATCACATAGTCCTCATCACTTACAGCTTTTTAGTTATGGTTCAAGAACCCAGGGAAGTGACATGTCATGTATTCACATATAATTTTTCTTACAAAAGTAATTTCTTACAAAACTAGAGAAAATAATCCATAACCTGTCACTTTAATAATTGGTTTTAACATTTTGTTGCATTAACTCTCAGTATATTCTACAAATATGACATAGGCTCATCATATCTGTATATTTTATATTGTTTTTACCTTTATTATTCAATCATAAGAAGGTTCCCAAGTTGCACCTTTTAAGATTAAATTAGAAATAGAAAATTATTTTCTAAGGGCCCCACAGTACATCACTGAGCAAACTTATGATGGATTGTTTAATTATTTTCCTCCTTCTAGTTATTTTCGGTTGTCTCCATATTTTACTGATTTCAGTAACACGGTGATGGACACTTTTTTTGCTTATAATATTTCTGTGCTTTGGCACTTATATACAAATATGAATGTAAACTACTACTAAGGGCCATTATTATGCTGTTCCCTGAGGAAGATGTGTGCCTTGCCCTCAACATATTTAAGAATAGACAATGAAGAGTAAAGAGAGAAAAAAGTAGGTAGTGAAGATAGAGTGCCCACTGCCAGTGCCGCGGTTGGCCACTGTTATTCTACCAGGAACTCTAAGCCATCTGGTGCCTCTTTTGTAGCAAATAAATTGCTGTTCATTTTGAAACTTAATATTTACAATATTTTAATCTTTTTTATTGCTTAAAATATTGTTTGCCATTTTGCACTCATGCTGCTATTTCATGTATCTGTCTAATTTTCTCTGTGATTCCAAAACTTTTATGCTGATTGGATAGATAATATATATTTTCCTTAAAATTATTAATCAGTGTTATCTCTATTCATGGGTCAAAATTTTTGCTTTTCATCTAGAATCTTAAGGTATTTTTGTTAACCTAAATTTATTTTTCTTTTCATACTTTTTTGGCCCTTCCCTTATATTTGTGAATGATTATTTTTAGCATATTCTCATTAAGTAGAATTTCTAGGTTTAATTACACAAGTGTTTTGTGGCTCTTTATTCATACTCCCATATATGAAAATGCCACATTTATTCTGCCTTCATTTATATTCAGTGTATTTTAAGAACAAAGTTATTAGTATCATGTATTTTGAAATAGAGCTTTAGAGCAGCAATCATAGTTGTGCATCAGGAAGACGCAAAAGCATCTGGAAAAGCAGTTTCTGTCCCGCTGGCTGCCTATTAAAAGAATTTATTGGTTTGTAACCCAGAGGTTGCTGACCTCTGCAGTTGTCAGAAGTAGCACTTCCCTTTAATTCTCAATGAAAGGATCTGAGCCCTCATTATGTTTGACCACAGGAAAGTTAGGCTTTTCCCATTTTCCCCTCCCCAAGGTCTCTGGGGCTCCCTGTAGAATACTCAAATGTTTCCTAGATCAATCCTGGATTTCACTGAACACTTGGGCCAGCAACCTACCCCTGGCCTGTGTCGCTGATCTTTGGATAACAATTTTTAATTATTTCTTAACTGGTTCCTAAGGACACTGCAGCTCACACTGTATGGCTGAATATGGACATAGGCCCATCACTGAATACTCAGAGTTCAGCCAAGTTCAGGCTGTAACAATTAACCAAGCTCCACTGACAATACCAGATAACAAAAAGAGATTCAATATAAAAAAGAAAATACTGGGTGTTAGATATGAGTATTTCTAGGATTTATAAACCTGTTCTCCATTCCCACGACCCTTCAGGGCATCTGTCTTGTTTCCCCCACCTTATTACCAAGTTGTAGGAACTAGTTCACACTCTGCAAATGGAGAGTCTTTGACCTTGTGCCCTGCAAGAGTCCATGGATTTCAATTCCTTCATAATCCAGCAAAGGGAAGAATCTTTCTCTCTTCCACTCAAATTTAGCCCAACATCCCAATTAACGAAGAAACAAAGATCTGTAGGTGAACACCTTTATCTATTAATGTAATTAGTCCTCTGTAGATTCCAAACAGCTGATATCAAAAGACATAGAGGCTGATTTTTAAAAACCATTAGCAAAACACCACCCTCAAGGAAATTTAAAAGAACTGTTTTAATATTGCTTCAATGTTAAATGAATATGAGGATAGTTTTTGATAAAATGTCGAGGGATTTTCAAAAGGGAGGGGATATATGTATAACTATGGCTGATTCATGTTGAGGTTTGACAGAAAACAGCAAAATTCTATAAAGCAGTTATCCTTCAATAAAAAAATAAGTAAATTTTAAAAAATTTATTACAGTGTTATTTGGAGTATCATAAGTCATAGTTGTGATTTGGAGAAAAGCCCAAAGAATGCATCTAAAAATATCGAGAACTAATAAACTAGTTAAACAAAAAAGTCTGAAAGAAAAATGTATACAGAAATGGTTTTAGCTATTTAACATAATAGATGAAGAGTTATAATGAGGAAAGTCTTACAAAAAGAAGATATTTAACAATAGCTTCAGAAATATAAAAATTCAGTGAATAAAGTTATCAAATATATTAAGTGATTAAAAATTCACATAAAGGTAGAACTCTGTTACTTATACATATATTATTTAATTTCACAATTATCTTGGCACTTCTACATTCCAGGGACAACTTTTAATATGGAGAATACATCAGTGAACAATACAGAAATATGCTCTGCCTTCATGATTTAATGCCTATTAGGAGAGATGGACATTTTAAAGATTTGCATTAAATAATGACATGGCTAATTAAAACTGTGATAGCTGCAGTATATAAGGTAGAGGCTACCTACACATGTATAAACCATGAAGTGGGAAACAGTGGCACAATTGAGGAATTCG